GTAACATAACATGGATCTACTTCATGATTACAGTGAACAACAATGCTATTGCTATGCTTAATGATAATAGTTTTATTATTTAATACATTTATAAGGTAATGTATTGGAGGATATAGTAACAAATCATCCTATTTATATACAATTAATAACACACATTATAATGCTTAACATAATACCTCAGTGCTATTCCACCATATTGTAATAGTATCAGTTGATATCTGATCCCAACTAATATTAACAACTTGAGCTGGTACTATAAGAAATACAATGAGTGTGTGTGTGTGTATAGTACTTACCATTCCATATATACTGTATTAATGATGAAGGAGGTCCTTCTCTTCCAATAGTATCAATAGGAATAATAATAAATGAATAATTAGCACCAATAATGAGAGAAGCAACTGTATATGATGTAATATTATTCACAGACTCCTGTTTAAAGACTGTTCCGTTGCTATAGACAGTGATACTGTACTGGTTTATACTGCAGTTGTAATCCTGTGTGTTCAATGACCAACTGATTGTCAGTGCAGTATTGTTAATAGGAGTAATAGTTACATTAACAACTGACACTGATACTGGTGGACCTATTTAAAGCTGTAGTTAGGTATCATAAAATGATAGTTGCTAACCTGTCATTTTGATGATAAATGTATTGAAACCACCTGAAATCAAAGCTGTACAACCAATCATAGTTCCATTCATTGATGCATCTACTGATGGTATAGTACCAGTACTAGTCACTGTATTACTAACAATATCAGTAACACTGAGTGTAAGAGGACCATTATCAGTAACACCTGATCTTATATTATTATTTAGCAATTTTGAAAGACCAGTCCCATATTTCCAGTAGGCACTACCAGTTCCACTAGCTACACAATTCAGTACTAGTCTATCACCAGGACACACTAGAGTATAAGTTGGAGAGGTTTGAGTCAGTGATGCTGCTGTGAGTATATTATAACATTAATTCACTGCCAATCTACATACTTACCAGATACAACAAGACTCAAAGTACATCCAGTCAATACAAGACACCAGTAGATACCAGCAGCAGTAGCCATTAGTGTATCAGTGAGAACTGTAATGATGAACTATTGCATGTACAAAGTTTATTTAACGAAAGAAAAATATTATTGTACTGTTTCCTTAATTAATACCTGTTTTTGTCAATTGCTCAACCCATCAACATTTGAAAACATATTGTCACATCATAACTTGATAATAATCTCATCATGATTTATCCATA